AACCATAACATCAATACAAACAAAGAGAAACGAGTTCACATTCTCATACAATCTATTTTGAACTAGCGATACATAGAAGAGCATGAGGGTATCACTATCGATGATGAAGGCATCTGTATAGCTCCAACCTCTCCTACGAATGATAAGCTCTCACTCGAACATAATGCTTACAGAAGTTTTCAATGCAATTGTGCAGCCTACTAAACTAATGAGTCTGGCCTTCCATTTATAGTGTAGAACTCAATTAAAATCCTCAGAAACCTACTAGGAAAAGGTTTCTTTGACTTGAAGCCGAAGCAAGGCCTAAAGATAATCTATTTGGGTTTGCGCCTTCTTGAGGCGTCTGGGAGGCGGTTGGCACCGCTGCAACTTTTCTTCACAGGATGGACTTTTTGGCTCATAAGCAACCTCTCCTGAAGATTTCATCGGGTTAATGCAAGTTTTCTACGACAACGGTTGGACCCGTCGCTGGGATGCCGCTGATTCTTGCTTCTGCATGGGCCGAGTCTTCCTCCATTGGACTTCTCTTGAGCCCTACTTGTGGTTACCAGTAGGTTTCTCCATCATTAGACCTCGTCTTTATCATTAAAATTTCATATTCTTCTCTTCATAGCTCTTTTGATCTTACAGAGTTATCCAATGTTTGATCTAAATCATCCTAAGTTGCTTTATACCTTGAAAACCATAAAAAAAAAATATATACCATGAAGATATCAAAATAATAAAATAACACAACATAGGTCTATTAAATGCTCATTGATCAAATACTTATTATTTAGGTATGAAACACAAGAAAAAGTACTAAAGATGTATTAATAGAAGGATGAAATGTATCAAATATGAGAGTAATAAACATTATAAATAGAGTGTCATCAAATCTCGAAATCCTCTCTAATCTATCTAGTTTTTTTTATGAGAGGGAGGCAGAACCTGCCGAGATTACACGAGCCCACGGGCTAACAAAAAGACAGCTGGTCACCTATCAAAACATCCACGAACAGAGGATAGGCAGAGCAGGGAAAAACCATCGAAGCGAGGTGGTCAAGGAGCATCTCTCTGAGGTACTTGCCGAGTGAAACTAACTCAGAGCATATCTTCACAGCAGATTCTATTCAGTTGCAATGGAGGATCATCCAATTCGTACGTACCAAAGGGATAGACGAGACTGTGCTTCGAGAGCCAGTCCGCGACTCTATTCCCTTCACGATACGTATGAACCAAACGAACCACCCATTCTTTAGCAAGCAAGCGCCTAATAGCTCCTAAGATCATCGAGTGCGGGTGAACGTTGTCAGTTCTTTTTTCAATCAAATGGAGAGCAAGCTGGGAGTCCGACTCAAGGATCAGAAAGCGCGAACCTTTCTTCCAGGCGAGTTCAAGGCCTTTCAGAATACCCCACAGCTCTGTCAAAATAGCTGAACTTGAGCCTAATTTACTGATGAAACCTCCTATCCAAACTCCATCATGGTCGCGAAGAGCTCCCCCTGCAGAAACAATGACCTAATTACTCTGAGCAGCTCCGTCAGTGTTGAGTTTGTGACAGCCAACAGGTTGCTTTGACCAGCCAACTAGAACTTCTTCCCTTCGATGAGGGTTGCTGGTAGAGAGGGTCTTGCTGGCTGAATCCCAGGTTTTTGCCCAGTCAGTAGCTTTGGCAGTAACATAATGGCAGAGAGTATGAGTAGAGAGTTTGATACCCTTGAAGATGCTCTCGTTTCTGCACTTCCAAATGTACCAAATCATCAGGCTAAAGAAACTGTTCCAATTGCCCGTCCAGCTCCCCATGGATTCATCCTTCAGGTTCTCTTTGAACCAAGCGTCGTGAGACAAGTTATAAAACTCAGCCTGTCTCTGCTGCTCCAAAATCCTGTTCCAGACTTCTTTGACTCTGTGACGATCCCGGAGGCAATGAAGGACAGTTTCCGGAATACCAGGGCAGTGAGGACAAGAATCATCTTGAGTTAGGTGTCTATGCTTCCTTACACTGTTCGTGGTGATTTTTCCAAGAGCTGCCATCCAAACAAAAACTCTTACACGCTCTGGCACCTGAAGTTTCCAGATTCGCTTCCAGATTTGGCTTGGTTGCTGTTCCTGCTACTGTTGAATAACCTTGTAAGCTGATTGAACAGAAAAATGTCCATTCGTCGTGAGACTCCAAAAGCTGCGGTCTTCTTCCATAGCTAGAGGATCAATAGGAGTCGCCCTGATTTTGTCTGTGATCTGGTTTGGTAGCAGATGATGAAAGTCCTCCGTTTTCCAGCCGCTTTCCAGATCCCACATGTCGGCCACCGTCTTGTGTACCTCATCTTCAGGGACTTCAGCGACGGCGCGCTCTATAAGGGGTACCTGCAAGATCCAAGGATCAAGCCAAAAATGAGTGTTCCTGCCGCTTTTAACATTAATAGCCAGCCCCTTCTTTAGCAAATTAGCTGTAGAAGCAAAGCTTCTCCATGCGAGAGAACTTCCCTGTTTTTTCTACAAGATATTGATCCCCTCCCTGTTTCCTCCATATTTTTCCAAGAGAAGCTTTGTCCAGAGAGAGTCTTCTCTTGTAATGAACTTCCAACCACCTTTAGCTAGCATCGCTTGGTTAGCTAGTCTTGTAGGGCGTTTGCCGATACCGCCTTGAGATTTGGGCATCGTCATCAGGTCCCAAGCCACCAGGTGGAATTTCGATTTCCCATCTTCTTCTCCCCAAATAAATTGTCTGTTGATCCTATCCAAATCATTGCAAACAGAAGCCGAGAGGAGTTCTGAAAACATAGGATAAACAGCCATAGAGGAAGCAACAGATCTCACCATGGTAATCCGAGAGGCTAGGGAAAGGCAGTTAGATTTCCAAGTAGCCAACTGCTTTTGAATACGGAGAACCAGCTCTTTATAGCGAGTTTTGGTCACTCGACCATGAATAGCATTCAGTCCCAAGTATCACCCCAGATCCGCAGTAAGAGGAATATTAGCTCGGTTGCTGAGATTTTGAGCCATATCCCTTCTGATGTTGGGGGAGACATAGAGAACTGATTTATTCAGATTGACTTTCTGACCAGAGCTGGAACAAAAGTCCTCCAAGCATTGCTTAATGATATCAATCTGTTTGCTCCCAGCCTCTGCAAAAAGAATGAGGTCGTCTGCAAAGAAGAGGTGAGACAATTTAAGACCATGAGATGTAACAGAAAGCGGTTTCCATTGTCGGTCTGCTACTGCTATCTCAATTCTGTGAGCGAGACGCCCCATACAGAGAACAAAAAGATACGGGGACAAGGGGTCTCCCTGTCGAACTCCTCTCAACGGTGAAATAGGATCCGTAAGCTTTCCGTACCAGTTGATCCTCATCTTGTTCTCCTCCACGCAGGTCCTAATCCTGCCTATCCAAGTGCTTGGTAGACCGACTTCAATCAGAGTGTCTCTGATGAAGTCCCATCTCAGCCTGTCATATGCCTTTTCAAGATCGACCTTTATCACTATCCCTCCTTTCTTACCCTTCTTAGAACGAAGAGAGTGAAGGACTTCCTGAAGGAGAATAATATTATCAACAGTTTGCCTTTTAGGAATGAAACCGCTTTGGGTGGGAGCAATGATTTTGGACATGATCGGTTTCATCCTGTTGGCCATAGCCTTCGTGATTGCCTTTAGACTGACATTGTGCAGGCAAATGGGTCTAAGCTGCGCCGGAGACTCTGGATGCTCGTTTTTGGGAATGAGAACAATGTTGAACTCAAACGTTTCTGCCGACAGATGACCAGTTTCAAAGAAAGAGATGGCAAAATTAGCAATATTCTTCCCCACAAATTTCCATAATTTTAAGATAAAAAATCGCTTGGAACCCATCCGGTCCACAGGCAGAGAAAGGTTTCATCTCAAAAATCAATTTGTGAAAATCAGTAATAGTAAAAGGGTGAAGAAGTTGAAGAAGATCTTCCTGGTTTATTCTCAGGAAACAGTTATTGGGCATCTTGTCAAGATACTGGGAGCTATCTTGGGTGTAGAGGTGGATGTGGAAATTGAGGACCAGTTCCTCAAGCTTCCCAGGATCATCTATCCAATTTCCATTCTCATCCTTCAAGGCCGGGATTTTATTACGACGACGTCTCCTGGTGGCTTACTGGTGGAAGTAAGCGGTATTTTGTTCTCCTAGAGTGACCCATTTCTCTTTAGCTCTTTGGAACCAAATCACGTCCTCTTGAGCCAGGATAGAGTCGAGATCAGCTTCCAATTTGGCCTGTAGCTTAAGGAGACCTGGGCTGAAGTTGTTTGCAAACTTAACTTGTATCCCCTGAAGACGGGCAAGGAGTCTCTTCTTGCGACAGTGGATATTGCCAAAAATCTCCTTACTCTAGTCTTGAAGTTTAGATGTGATATCCTGTAACGCTTGTTGCAAAGTTGTGTTTTCATTCCAACTACCTGCAAAAAAGTCACAAAAACGTTTGTGCAACAGCCACGCCGCTTCAAATCTGAAGGGTTTAGCATTATAGGAAGTAGGGGGAGCTCCATCACTAGATGTCAAAATTGGAAGATGATCTGAATGCAGCTTAGAGAGGTGCTGAACAACAGTCTTGGGGAAGGCAGAGTTCCAAAGGGCATTGCACAGAGATCTATCAATTCGGCTAGCCTTTCGAGTGAGCCGAGAGTCGCCTCTGTACCAAGTGAAACAAGGACCTGAAAACCCCAAATCAAAAAGGTTAGCTGAATCAATCCAATCCGCAAATTGTTGACAACGTTTCAAAGCTGCATGAGAGATTGATCCAGATTTTTCGGAAGGAAGACTATAAGCATTGAAGTCTCCTGTGATGAGTCAGGGCAGGTTGATCGCTCTGCTCGCGTGGATAATCCTCTCCCAGAGTTGCCTATGGAAGCTATATTGGGGGCTACCATATATTCCAATGAGCAGAAAGTCACCAGAGCCATCGCCATTAACTTTGACAGTTAAGTGTTGTTGGCTGGCATCCACGAGTTCCACAGCAAAGACATCCGCTTTCCAAGCTAACCAAATGCCCACTTTTCTTCCTTCAGCATCGATTGTAATAACATCACCAAGCTACCGAAGAACCATATGTAGTTACTACTGATACAAATACAAATAAAAAATTGAATGCACACACTTGACTCCAGGGTAACTAAACAAACTAGAGCATACATCACTTATAATTGGGGTCAAATATAGTGTTGTGTGGGAAGGGAGCCTTCCAAGAGTCTCTTTCATGACATGTAATGGCGCAGACTCCCCAACATGTCGTGCCCAATGTCGACTCATCTGTCGACTGTCGACCGAACCTCGTGCAACTCACAGACCAACATCCCTTCATTCTGAAACATAACAGCTTCTCGTATAGGGCTTCATAATTGAACAAGCCAGGTATCATTTTCAGCACTAGGACAGACAGGTCACATAACATCACATCCTCCAAGCTAGAAAAGATAGATGACTCATGACCCACGCCCACTATATATGTCCCAACAGTTGGGATAAAATGCTATACTCAAAAGTCAAAACTCGATTGGATATCGGCGTTCAAATAATGTGAAATTGTCTGAGCAAAAGATCTAGAAGGGCTGTAGGTAAGTGACCAATGATTTAATTCATACTACCAAAAAAAAGGTCTGTGACCATTCTGGTCCAGAAAGACAACCTCTAAGTGTATATAAGAGAAAATGGTACTGCAAAAACTAGAGTGCTGAAACATTCAGCTGTATGCCTTGAGGTGGAAGATTTGGCAGCTTGGAGTGTAAGACATTTTGGTTGCGGCTTGCTCGAACTTCTTGGTCGCTGCTTCGTTTATCTCTACGTTTGTTACGCCAAAGTATCGCTTCCACCAGGATGCACTCCTCATTTTAGCCTGCAGAAAGAAGAACAAGAACAAGAAGGTAAAATGTGACTCTTGCTATATCAACATTTTAAGCTACATTTTGGACCATAACCAAGTGGTAAGAAGAGTCAATGTAACACTTACCGCCCTGCCGAATTTGGACACGTCAGCTGCTTTATTTGTGCGCTGACCTGGGAACCCTTTATGTATAAAGTTCATATTAGTTGAATGATGGAAGTTTTATAAGCAGAAACGGCATATATGGTAAGGGTTACAAGCATATAATCAGTCAAAATGTGATGGCAAATACAGCGGACTTCCAGTATCATACAGTTCTCGGTTGCAATGCAACCAAGTAAAGATCATTGAAGTCAGTACAAAAAGAACAAAGAAAAAGCAAGGGAGACATTAACATGAGATATTCTAAGCGTTACAAGCATATAATTCAGTCAAAAGGTAAGGGTTAAAACTAAGGCACAAATTGGTGTATGCCTATTTAGTTTCTGTGGATCTGTTAATTGAGAACAGAAGAGCCGTTTCATCGAAACCCTATTAAGATGACAATATTGAGAAATCTAAAACTAAAAGCGGAAACAGAAGAGCATCTCAAGTAGAACCTCTCTAGTGTCTTAAATCAAATGCAGGGTATTAGCAATGCCACACAATTCTCACAGGCAATGAAGAATGCTTGAGTTCACGTAGTAGCATCAAGAGCTGCTCAAACCAGAATCTATGACTGAAGTTGGGGGAATTTGAGTTTAATCCGCACCTGTAAAGGCTACGACGCCCTCAGTAGATACCCTGGCCAAATCAGGGATGGTCTTGTTGAGGTATTTTGGGGAGAGGTAATCCAATGCCTCTGAGACAATAACAAGGGAGAAGGATTTGGGCCTATAAGGAAGTGGGAACTTGATATCAGCAACGCGGACAAAGCCTTTCCTAACAAGGGCTCGGCAATGGACATCAGCATCCTCCAAGTCGTAAGGCTCCACACCCCATGCCTCAGTTTCCTCTTGTTTCAACAAAGCCGAAACCACTGAACAAGTATCAGGCCCAACATGCATTACTCTGTGCATTATGTCACCGTATGCCTTCCGCAGCACTGGTATCGCCCTGTGTAGCTCTCCTGTACATGAACTATCATCTGCAAACACACACAACGAGTCGAAGATAGTACCATAAACCTCGAGCCACCGAGACTGGGGGGGAAATTGCAGCTTTAAGACGAATGGAGACAATCGATAGTATGTACATTGTACACACAAAATAATTAGGGAAAAGTCCATGACTCCACGGAAGGGAAGCCCTTGAAATGTTGGTTAGGATAAGATAGGATAGCACCAAATGACAATTATCTAAATGGTTATTTTCCTACAAAGTGTCATTATCCAGTTTCCCTTTCTATATATCACACAACCCAATTGCTACGAAAACTAGTTGAGCTACTGAAGCATTGTAAATTACCTACAAGGCGTATGGAAGGTGATTTGTTGCCACCAAATCCTGCTCCAAATAAAACAAACACAAACAGTTTCCGTAATCAGCTGGTAAATCCGAAATGAAAAAACTCTACAGCGAAACGGAAGATTCAACGGCTGACCTCCGGAATGGAGATAAGTGAACACGGCCAATCCTCCCTGTGAAAAGCCCCACCACGGTGAAATCAGAATCGGAATCAAAAGTTTGAAAAGAAAAAAACGAGGTAGCAATGAGAGAAGCGTACGAGGACGATGAGGGCAATTGACAAGTAGGGAGGGGAGCGGGACTTGGAACTGAAGAGAGCGCCTCCGCTGCCGCTGTCGCCGTAGCGGCGGGAGGGATTTACCGGCCTCCTCGACATTGGGTGGCTGCCGGAACTCGATCCAACTTAACGCGGTTCTTTTTTAAACAGTGTCTCCCACCATTCTGCTTCCCCGCCGTCGAAATGGAATCGTGAGATCCAAATAACACTGAAGACAAGAGCAGGAAAAGGGTGAAATCAAGGAACGAAATCGTAACGGATTATTATATTTTTGTTCGTTTGTTTGGTTCGGTGAGCTGAGATTTGATCATGAACACTCTGTCTAGCAATCTGCAAAGTCAGGTCAAACTGCTTCGCCCTCAGCCAATGGGGATTGCGCCACGTGGGACAAATCAGCAACTGTTTCCCGGAGTACCCGCGAAACGGTGATATATCCAAGTAGGCCCAGAGCAAGTCGGTTAGAGTGTTTGCCAACTGGCTTTGAGGACATAAAGGCCCAACTACGGGCCCGTTGATAGAGTCGATAACGCTGCTTCACTGGGCTCTAAAATATACTTATAGTTTATCCAAGCAAGTGACGGACGATAAGTTGATTTTTATAGGCAAGTGTTACGGAAAGAATTTGAATCTGAAATCTTCTGGTTCAACAATAGTCCGCAAAAGGAGCCACCTTATAATAGTGTGGATATTGGGAACTAGTGGCGGATCGACCTGGGCTCAGCCTTCTCCGGATCTAAAGTTAGTTTAGTGCTTATAAAATTTTTTGATTTAGGTATTTGGCCTAGTGCTATTTAAATTTTGTATAGTTTTATTTGATAATAGGATTTTGTGTAACTAGAAAAATGTTCAGATGAATATATCCAAACAATTACTCTAAATTTATACTAAATTTTCTATAGCCCCAATGATTTTATTTTAAAAAAGACATGAAAACCTGAAAATGTAAAGTTTCATTAAAATAAAAATTAAAACTCTAAAATAAAGCACACCCTTCCTTGCAAAATTCAAAAAATTTCCCAATCCCCCCAAAACAAAACAAGAACGAGGAGACGAGTAGACCTAAATGGATTTCTCCGCCAGCCCGTCGAGCTAGTTTTCTTTCCATTCTTTTGATTAAGAAAATATTTACAAACTTGCTGAGTCATAATTTAGATTGCCTCAATTGAGCGGGGCACTAGATTTTAACCGTTCTTTCTGGTGTTTTGATGAAGAAAATATTTACAAACTTGCTCAAGAGTTTAGCCTCGATACATTGAAGGCTATGAGATGCATTCTTTGGAGAATGCACTGCTCATGTGAGGAAGATGAAGTTTCTTCTCTTGCAAAATTGTTAGAGAAGCTGGAGGAAACAGGGATAAACACATAATACAAATTGATTTGTTGGTTAATTTGTCTAGTGTTGACCTAGCCGTTTCAACAACTACCATGGAGAGAATATTTTCAGCAATGGAACATGAACATTGATTTGTGCAACAAAATGAGCGATGAATTACTCGTTGATTACTTAGCTATTTTCTTTGAAAAGAGTATATTATAAGTATGGATAGAGATTATATTATTGATGAATTTGCTAAATTAAAAGACCTTCTTGTACAATTAGCATTGTAATGAAAACTATATTATTATATATTTTTGTTTATGATATCTAATATTCTATTCAAATGCGGCCCAGTACTCTCTTATGTCCTGGATCCGCCGCTGTTGGGACCCATCTTGATCTAGACTAAGACACGAAAAATAACAATATTTATGACATAATACTCTATCCTAGTACTTCATGTTCACGGTTTTACTTGTTAATCAATAAACTGTATAGACTTTTATGGCTTACAATAACCTTACATATTATATACATAACTCTAAGTTTTAAAAATGTGTCTTTAAATGTTTGCTTTGAGTTTACCAATTCCTAGTTTGGTATCAAATTCTCACACTCAAAAGAAAAAATGTCGGTGAACTATGAAAATCTTTATGAGTCATTTAAATAATAATAAAAACAATTATATATGTTATTTTAAGTCAGACCCATCTTAAGTAAAATGATGGCTACATCACTGACAATAGTCTTATTATCGCTAGGCGAACCTCTTACTCGCCCGATTACTACCACAAATCGAGACACTTCCAATCTGGGTTAAATTGTTCGAGATTGACGCTTGAATACCATTATTTGGATGGTTTGAAATGGAATGAGTAACTCTCATTGTTGATGGACTAGACTGCTAATATTGGTACACGGCTTGGGTATGCCAAGGTTTGTGTCAAGAGATAATTATGATTTTCGCGAATCTATTCTTTTCTAACCAGATGGTGACCTTAAGGTTGTGGGTAGAGTCCGGTCTCATGGCTGTCCGGGCTGGCCTGCCGGAGGCGAACATGGGGATATTTGTTCGGCGCCTTTTCGAAAAGGTGGATAGTGAGGAGGTTATTATCCGGGTAGTTTCGTTGTTATGGCGGGTTTGGAAGTCTCGCAACTGGGTGGTGTTTGACGGGTGCCAATATACTGGGGAGGTCTTGCGTAACCAATGGTTGGTTCAGGTGGATGAATGGTGTCAGATGTCGCAAGGGGTGGAGGCTCGAGTGCTGGAACAGAGGCGGAGGATATCTTTGGGATCGCGTCAACCGCCGCAGGGGGTGGCTTGGGTATGCTCATTTGATGGGGCAGTGCGGCAGGCGTCGCATTCGGCTGTGGGGATTGTCTTGCAAGGGCTGGATGGGGGGTGGTTGCTGCGCTGGGAAGGGGATGGGAGGGGGTTACAGATCCTATGGTGGTCGAGCTGCTGGCGCTTCGAGAGGCGATCTTATGGTGCCGATCGATGGGGCTCTACGGGGTCTGCTACCAGGGTGACGCGAAGGTGGTTATAGACAAGGTGATGGCCGGCAGTACGGGGGATTGTTATGGGGGAGCGGTGTTGCGGGAAGTCCAGAATGTGTTGGATGCGGTGGGAGGGGATGTTCTCCGATTCGTAGGTAGGGATCACAATAGGGTAGCCCATAGAGTGGTTAGGAAGGCCCTTTCTTTGTATCCTACTTGTCTCGGGGGGTTTGATTTTTGCGCTTGGCTCCGATCGGAGTTGTAATCGTTTGTGATCTTTGCTTCTTGGTAATACAAGCTATCTTTTGCCAAAAAAAAAAAAAAAAAAAATAAACACAAAACTCGATCTTTCTTGATCAAAGAAAAGATGCCTCCAACAATGACGTCAAAATTTAGTCCTACATAATAAATATAGTGGTTTAAACTTAACGCATAAAGTGTAAAAACTCATGGGACCGTATTCCCTAGACCCTTTTTTATGTACTGCTTCAAATCGATTGTAAATATTCCATAACAAGTTGTAGTTGAAGTTTAAGTTGATTACTTAAGACAAACCGAAAAACAAAAGTATGTAAAGTAATGAAACGAAACATGGAGTAAATGAAGAAGAAAACAATTGAATATTGAACCAGGGAATAAATTATGTTGTTAGGTTGAGTATCCTGGATCTAGAGTTTACAAGATTAATAGATTAATCAAAACAAACAGTTTATCGAGTTTTAATTCCTAATCTCATTCTATCTCAATTACTACAGTTATGTTTGTGTTAGCCGATCCATTGTCAACATGTATTTGGCACATTGGCCCACACCACTTGTATAGCTCATATCCATGCTCACGCCCCTTTCACCTCTCTTCTTCTTGCTCGGCTGAACCCTAGAATTATTTGTTGTAAGTCTCTCCCAGATGGTTAAGTGCTCGGAGAGTCTTGAGTCTCTCTCGTGGACTAGTCCTGATTACTCAGGGAGACCACTTAAATCCATGTTTCTCTTATTTTCTGAACTCCGTTCAATATGGCTAACATGGTATCAGAGCCTCCGTCTGGCGATTATGATTGCCTCAACATTCTTCTCAATCCAAAAAATTACGTCGTATGGGAATTTCAGGTCCGAAAACACATTCTTCTAGAAATCCGAGTCAGGAGAAACATATTGGCCTGTAGTTGATGGTAGTGGGCAAGGATTTCGGTACAGATGGGAATTTCGGGTCCGAAGAAACATTCGTCCAGGATTTCTAGATAGATTGGCAGTTGATGGAAACATTCGTCTCATTCAGGCTGCTCTCCAGAAATCCTTGCCCACAGCCATCGACTTCGCCTTTGCTGCCCTTCAGGTTTCAGGTAAACTGTGGCTTCTTGACTCCGCCTGCTTCAATCACATGACTAGTTAGTCTAAGAAACTTAGTCATATTCGTCCGATTACTGGTTTTCATTTACAAGTCGCCAATGGCGAGCATCTGCCTTGCCGCATTTGGTTTTCTTGATTTTCAACGTCTTGAATTGCCTAATGTTCTCCATGCTCCACAACTTTATCCTAATTTTGTTTTCGTCGGCCAGCTTACTGATGAGAACTGTTATGTTTTATTCGCACCGTCTGGGTGCTTTGTGTAGGATCTGACGACGGGGAGGATGATCAAAAGGGGGGAGTAAGCGTGGCCACAGGACCCCATAAATCAGTATGGACAACATGAAAAGGATAAAAAAATAATAGTTTTGCTGCATGGGAAAGATATGCTTTTGGCCTTTGCCTCAACGCAACTCGAACACATGTGAGAAGAAGGAATCCGAACTGATTTATTACCAAGCAAATTTTGTTGAAACATAAACTGTAAACGTTGAGAATTCAAGTGGCCTAAACTGAGAATGCCACAAATTCCACTGACAAACAGATTGACTCGAAGACTCGAATGAAGACGAAATAGATTGAGGAACACAAGTCACGCTAGACACCTGCGGACGGGATGATGATGACATGACCTACGGACTGGATGATGATGACATGAGGGAAGAAGGAACCGAGCTGTCCGAGAGTTCTTCCAATGTAAAAGTTTATTTCCTTCACTTGAAATCCGACCTTTATGCTGTAGCTACGGAGTTCCTTACTATGATCTGTACTCAGTTTGGTAAAACTGTGAGAATTCTCAGGTTCGATCCCGGTGTTGAGTTTAGCTCTAATCCCTTGTTGCAGTACTATTGAGACCATGGCATTCTATGTAAACAATCATGCCCTGGTGTCTCGCAGCAAAATTGTGTGGTTAAACGTAAAAATTTTCATACTGTGGAGCTCACTCGTGCCCTGATAAGCTTACTCTGATTTTGATTTTGCTGGGTGTATTGACATTCGTTGATCGACTACTGGTTGGTGAGTTCGGTTCGGTGATACTTTCTTTTCTTGACTCTATGAAAAGCAGGATAAGGTTTCTAAGTCTTCGACTGAAGCGGAGTATAGGGCTATGTCTGATGTTGGTTCTGAGATGGAATGACTACATCGATTGTTTAGGGATATCGGCGTCTCTATTCCTACCCTAATGACTCTTCATGTGGACAACACCAGTGCGATTCAGATGGTGCTAAATGGGAGCTGGAACATGGA